ATTTGAAGCAATGATATATCATATACATAATATCTTCTTCTAAATTTTGTATCTACTAATAATAGAGTATCGGATGTTGTATTTTTTACCAATATTTTATATCATATACATACAATTTTGATAATTATGGACGCAATTGTGTTTCATGTACATAATAATTTTCTGGAAATTTAATATCAGCTTAAAAAAAAGTTAGAGTAATTTTGGTATCAATTTTATGTATTTGATACTTAATATCTTTGTAACTTTGGCATGAAATAATAAAATCGTATCAATTTGAGATGTTTGAAGCACCTAAGTATCATATACATAATATTATGTATATGATAATGATTTAGTATCATCTGTTTGTGATTTTTTACCAATCTTATAAGATATAATTTGTACCATGTTGTGTGAAGAATAATTGTTATTTGTGAAAACAATTTTGTATCATATACTTAATAATTTTGTGAAAATTTTGTATCAGTTTCACTGTAGTAGAAGCTATAGTGATATGTATAATACTTATAATATACAAAAATTAATAAGGTACTAAAATGTATTGAAAACGAACTTAAAAGCGACATAAAAATTATGGACATAAAAACACTTCAAATTTAGAAGTATAAATTACTTAGAAATATAATGTTGACCTGGAGAGGAATACTCCAAAACACTTAATGTATCTTCAAAACAACAAAACTTCATATCTTGACAGTAAGTCAGTAAATAAACTACTATTTTACATTAATCAGTTCATCAACTGCCAATGGAATGAAGACACCCTTTAGCCTTGTAGGATCATCATTCTCGCTAATGTGGGTAAATTAAAAGCAAAAGAAATGTATATCATGGGTAGTGTTGGTCGAGAAATGGGAGGGGCAACCTTTCTATCCCTTTTCTTTTGAGTTTTTGCATTCTTTGCTTTAGATGATACCCCCACTTCCTTTTTCGATTTTCTCTTCATAGAACTTTGATTTGCCATTAATGCCGGATCATGCAAACTTTTAGACCTCTGTTCTGCCCAGTTGGAGTCTTCTGAATAAAAAATCTGATCATTGTTAGGTGTTATTATTTGGGAAATCCCAATATTAAAAGACAGATGATCCATTTTGACAACTGATCCAAAATCGATTGAAACACAAAAATTGATTTTGAAAGAAAAATGAAGAAGATGAGAATACCTATTTTGAACTTTGGAGACGGTTGAATAGAGATAGAATCGTTTGAAAATTAAATTGCTTTAAATTCGGTAACTGATTTGGTAGTGGGGAAAGATTAGAGGCGAGATTTTGGGGATGAGAAAGGTGAGTTTGGGTTCTTTCACAATAAAGTATCCGAAATAGAGGGTTTGGGGGAAAATAGGGATTTTTGTATTTTTATGAAAGAGTAGGGATTAAACGAGAATAGGTAAACATATGTAGTGTAGTTTAGTAATTTATCCAAATTTAAATAAATCTCACTAGTTTATGATCTATTTACTTAGATACACTCTAGTTTGTTATATTATAAATCTTACTTGATTTTAATGTGTTCAAATACTTTCAAATACATACATAACAATTTTCTTCATATCATAAAAATAAATAAATTAAAATGATAATCAAATTAAATTTACATAGTTTAAATTTCGATAAGCAAAACTCAAAGAATAATTTGGATTAATGTAGAAAATGATATTTATTGCCAACAATAATTGGAACCAATAACTTGAAAAATATATCATATTAATCAACTAAAACATATTGAATTTCAATAAAACTTGTCGTAATACTGTACTCCAATTAACGTGACATTTTGTGATTAGGACTTTATTAATTTAAGTTTTGTCCTTATTATTGAAATTTGGAACCCTAAAATCCGGAATGCTGCCGCTAATGCAATTTGAGTATTTGTTGAACATGAGAGTAAAAGAGGTTACGTCCACATTTGGTGCAATGAATTGATTATTAGTGGCAGGTGTCAGAATTTGAAGTTTTTGAAATTGGAATCTAGTTATATTAAGTTATTAAATTCCAAGTTAATGATCTGTACCGTATCAATGAATTAATTAAAATAAGTATGCAATTTGGATTAAAGTTATCGGATTCGACTGATTCTGTAAGACCGTAACCTACACTAGCTTGCCACTTTTGGATTCAATGCATCAGTTTTAGTTGTCCACCAAAAAAAAAAAGTAAAAATCATCAGGTTTTGATTTTTTTCTTTTCTTTTTTTATCACACAAATTACTTTAATTTTCGTATGAGTTTAGAACCTTCTTGCATAAAATCTTGATCAATAACTTTAATTTTCGTATGAATTTGCTTTATCAAAATTCTGAATGTTTGATATCAACATGAAAATCAAGGCAGTAATTGGCTAATTGAAGTGAGGAGATTATTAATAGTTTTTTTCTGGTATCTTAATTCATCCCATATTTCAAATTTTCAAGCTCAGACATTATAATATTAAGTACTATATATCAAGTGACATCAATTTTGTCAATATATAACATAGTGTTTTGGTAATACATAGTTACTAATCTATTTGCCTCCAGAACATTAAATTTAAACAAAACATTAGAGGAATTAGCCAGATTAATTAAACTACTAATAAATGATATAACTACTTTTTCTCTTATATGTGCTTCAAAATAAATAAAAATCATGCATTAAATTAATCCCCCAAAAAAAAAATTTGCATAACAATCTAGGTCTGCACTATAATCTTTTGCACAACTTGTATGCCAATTGAATATAACAACCTAATTGTATTCACTTAAATAAGACATAATAATAAATAGATAAGATACTCTAACTTAGTCTAAATTAACTAGCATCTAAAATACTAACTTTGAATATGTATACTTCAACTTATCTCCATTGTATCAATCGAACACTCCAACTTAAAATCACGTATTCCTTAACAATTGAGGTCAAACTTGGGAAAGAGTCAAATTGTCTTGCAATTTTGGTTGGTGAGCCAATATTTTCCAATGGAAAGAGCCTTTCACTATAAGTATAAATGTTTTCAGCCCAATTACAAAAAATTTGTACTTCATAATGTCTCCAACTCTTATTCTTGACATCGTAAAAAAAACAAACCAAAACATATTTTATGTTTATTGCAAATGCAATTTCTTCACCACCATACTTGCAAATATTATTGGCACTCAAGTGCATATCATTAAGTTTCCATCCTAAAGGAAATTGAAATATTTGATGTTCCCATTCTGCTTTTCCAAATATCCATAGATGGATGTCTTTAGTACGTCTTAACTCTGAAAAATTCAAAAATCCTAATTTTCCATATTAGCATATAGTCCTTAATGTGTATTCTTTCATGTAAATTATTACCAAATTTAATTGGCATTGTGATACTTGTGAAAATTTCAGATTTAACATCAAACGCAACTATACAAAACTCTGGATAATAGCTAATCCGATAGATGATTCCACTAATGCAAATTCCAGATCTGTATGGAATAATATCATAATCATGTTTTTCATATTTAATCATCTCCCTCCATGATTTATCTATACCTAAAGTGAAAACTCATGCTCTTGATAATCCTTCGTGAACATCAATAGTCAAAACAACTTTATATTTGTTTTCTTCTGGCTCAAAACGTATTGAACATGTAAACTTCTCATTGAAACATTTCTAGTAGGGAAGATATCTTAGTTCTCTCGTAGCGTGATTGAAAATTGCAATATATAGCATATTCCATATGCAAAACAAACCATTATCGTAATCAAAACGAACACGTTCATCATCCCAATCACAGTTAACGTGATCATACAACTTATTAAAATTTTCAATTCGACAAAACTTCTCTTCAATAGAGTAACAAACGTCGTATAGGCATGCAATCAACTTGGTATTACCATGATTGATACCAATTGAATTATGAAATTTTGAAACGCACCTGAAACAAATTAAAGACTTAACAGGAAGCTACGAGAAAAATTGAATGATAATACCTTGAGGAATTGACTGTTCTTTTGTATTCATCGACATCTTTGGAGTCAATATTTTAGGTTGAATTGATTTTTTTATAAAGCTGTTTTATAAGTCTATAAATTTTTTATTTTAGTTGCTTAAGACTTCAAGTCTTAGTAAATTTCCTACTAATCTATAATATATTAAAAGTAGTCCTTCTTTAAAAGACTCTGCTTTAGATAAAATTGTTTTTATTACCATTTTTCTCAATTATTATATTATTATTTTAATAATATTAAATATTGACTATAACATAAATCCTAATATAATTGGCCAATTTAATATGGAAAGGTTTGATAACGTAAGGGTATAAGGAGGTCTGGGTATTTGGTAAAACGATTTTGTTTATTAAGGTATCCTAAAATAATATAAAATTAATTACACATGAATTCTAATTATATGAGGGGACTCCTAAAAGGTTTTGTTAATTAAAGTATCCTAAAATATTTTAATTACTAGATCTTTCCTTAAAAAATTAATTAGATGAATTATAATTATATGAGGAGACTCCTAAAATTAAAGGTTTCGTTTATAGTATCCTAAAATATTTTAATTACTAGGTCTTTCCTTTTCTAAATAGGAACTTTGAATTAGATAAATAAATTAGACAGAAAGTGATTAATATTTAACCACGTAGTAAATAGTTAGAGATGGACTACATTTCATTGTCTTATTGTCTATTTAACTCTATTATTTAACTGTAAGTGATTAAAGAAAAGAATAGTTGAATTACAGCAAAAAAAATAAAAATAAAAAATAAACACAAGGAACTTAATTAACGTTTAACGAAAAATAAATCATGTATTACATTCCTCAAAAAATAACATTCGCATTACAATCCAGGACTTCACTATTATATATGAAAAGTTTGTATGCCAATGGAATATAATGACCCTAAATGTATATATTGAAATAAAGAAATAATATGTCGATAGACATTTTAATTGTCACAACTGACAATTAAAACCATTCAACTTTTGATTATGCACACCTCAACTTATTTCCATTGAATAAGTCGAACACTTCATCATTCAAAATGATCATCTAGACGCACATTCCCTTGACAATTGAGGTCTAATTTTGTTATAATTATGGTTGGTGATGAATAGTGCCAATATTTTCCAAAGGGAAGAGACTTTCACTATAAGTAAAAATGCTTCTAGTCCGATCAGGAAATTCTTGGACTTCAAAACGTCTCCAACTATTATTCTTGACATCATAAACAAAACAAAGTAAAACATCACTTGATGTTAATTTAATTGCAAATACAATTTCTTCACCACCATACTTGCAAATCTTATAGGTACTCAAATATATATTATTAGGTTTCCATCCTAAAGGAAATTGAAATATTTGATGTTCCCATTTTCCTCCTTCAAAAATCAATAGATGAATGTTTTCCGTACACCAAAACTTTGAAAAATTCAGAATTCCTAATTTTCCATTCACTTCTATTAGCATATAGTCAAATTCGCTTTCATGTATATTATTACCAAATAATTCAATCAACGTTGTGATCCTTGTGAAAATTTCAGATTTAACATCGAACGCAACTATACAATACTCCGAAGAATAACAAAACCGATAGATAATTCCACTAATGCAAATTCCAGATCTATATGGAGTAATATAATAATCATGTTCGGCATATTGTATCATCTCCCTCCATGATTTATCTATGCCTAGAGTGAGAACCCATGCTCTCGATAATCCATCGTTAGTATCAATCGTCAAAATAACTTTATATTTGTTTTCTTCGGGTTCAAAACCTATTGAACATACAAATTCCTCGCCATGAGGAAAAACATCAAAACATTTCAAGTAGGGAGGATATCTTACTTCTCTCGTAGCGGGATTGCAAATTGCAATATACTTCGCATTCCATATGCAAAACAAACCATTATCATACTCAAAACGAAGATAATAATCCCAACAACCGATAATGTGATCATAAAAATTATTAAAATTCTCAATTTGATAAAACTTGGTGGCATTTTCATCTTCATCATGCTCTTTTACAGAGCAAGAAACATCGTCTAGGATTGCAATCAACTTGGTATCACCACGATTGACCTTAGAATAATTGGATAAATGGAGATCCACAAAATTTGGTTCCAACACAATTGAATCATAAAATTTGGAAACACACTTGAAACGCATTAAAGACGGCTGAAGTTGTCCTAATTGGAGTGAATATTTTGTAAAGTTGTTTTATAAGTCTTTAAAAATTTGAACTTTTGGGCTTCCATTCTTGATCCAATAAAGCCACTAACAGGGCCTTAATCTACTAAAGCCCAAGTCCACTAGTATAGGCATGCAATCAACTTGGTATCACCACGATTGACCTTAGAATAATTGGATAAATGGAGATCCACAAATTTTGGTTCCAACACAATTGAATCATAAAATTTGGAAACACACTTGAAACGCATTAAAGACGGCTGAAGTTGTCCTAATTGGAGTGAATATTTTTTGTAAAGTTGTCCTATTGTTTCTATTTTTTGTAAAGTTGTTTTATAAGTCTTTAAAAATTTGAACTTTTGGGCTTCCATTCTTGATCCAATAAAGCCACTAACAGGGCCTTAATCTACTAAAGCCCAAGTCCACTAGTAGCTTTGTTTTGTCATAAGAGCCCAAATAAGTTAGGCCAGCCCGATATGAAAATTTTCATAAATTTTCCTTTGATGCAAATATAAATAGAGCCATAGATCAGGATACTATTCATTTACGCTCTTTTTATCTATTTATTTTATAGAAAAAAATTGTTTATCATGCACATTTTCATGATAGTTCAATTTTTATACTTTTTTGGATACATTTCTGGTGTTCGACATTAAAATTTAACTTTAATTAATTTGAATTCGTACCGTGTAAGGCCTATTTAGAAAAAGTCTTCCTATCAAGAACTTTTATTCATATAGAAATTGAAACCTCTAATTAAGAAAGATAAAATCTCGATCCTTTGATGGAATAATTCAACTTCATAATTAAAACTCATGCGCATATTGAATGGTAAGAGACACATAGAATGAGTTGAGATCAATCTTGATTCCTTCGATTCAGAATATAAGTCAAAGCTATTTTAAAAATTAATCAAAGTTAAAAGACGAATAAAAGAAAAATACTAGTGGAACTAATAATAATTTATCTTAATCTATTTTCCTAATAAAGCTCATAGATTCTTGCACAATTATGTCAAAGATGAAAAGATAAACTTGAATATTTTGAATTTCTTGTCTCTTTAACGAATAAGTACTAGTATTTCTAAAGTAACTTTGAAAGATATTCCATAAAAACAATAATTTTTTAAACTTTTTTTTTGTCCACGTGAAATATATGCATTTATTTTTAGAAACCACTTTAATATACTGTTTTTATATATATGGCCTAACAATTGTGCAGAATCTCACTTACCAATTTTTTTTTTATAATTATAAATTAAAGCGACCGAAGTGTTTCTTATTCAATTCTTTAATTTGTTAATGACATCCATATTTAGCCACAAGTGAAACTTGACCTAATAATACTTTTTTTTTCAAATAGTAATAACAATCACTTTTTAGTTAAACGATCGCTTTCTGATTAAACACAGTTAATTTCATGAATGATCATTCAATTTTTATTCACTTTATTAAAATTATCAAGACTCAACTTTGTCTAAATATAACACGGTAATATATTAGCGAAAATAATTGAGACATTTTCTACCATAATTGGACAAAATTAAGTGTTTTTTAGTATAATGTTTTTATTAATGAAATGCAATACAATTAAATTGAAAGATTGCCTTACTGGAGCTCAGGTCTTCTTTATTAAAAAACAAGAATCAAATTGAAGATGATTAATCATTTTTTTTTTAGATAAATGTTATAGCTTCTTTATTAAAACAAGAATCAAATGGAAGATGATTAATCTTTTTTTTTTCCTTTTCTTTAAGGCCAATAATTTCTTAATTACTACTTCGAGATAGGGAAAAACCAAATTAGTGTATTCATGTACTACAACAAGAAGCCACGACTTCATTATTTGATACAACAAAGAAGAACAAATTAAAATTTGTTCATAAATCTACACTTACAAAAAAAAAACGAAAAAAAATAAATACAAATGAAGTACTACCAAGTCATATATTTACAACGCTACATTTGAAGCACTTTACTCCTCCTTTCATAAGGATGCTCGCGAATCTGAATTAATCAGACTAAGGTGCAGCAAAGGCATCATCGACCCATCTAATGATTTGAGAATTAGTACTAATATTACTATCATTTTTGGAAGAAGTTTTAAAATTAGGAAAAGCAAGAAAAGATTTGAATTTGTTGAGTTGCTTCCTGTGACGTATTCTTCTTAGTGCTACATCTTTGTTCATAATTGGCCCTGTTGACTTCAAGTAGATTTTGCTACTTACACATCTTTCTTCATCTTCCTCTTGAATAATTTCTTCTTGAAAATCATCTTCAATATTATCATTTCCATAACTAGAAATAGTACTAAATTTCTTGTTTCCTTGTGGAAAATATTTTTTTGGGACTATGGAATTACTAGACATTATAAATATGTGGGATGTAAGAAAAGAAAAAGTTGTAGATTTTGATGATGTTTTTTGTTAAGAGATTTTTATTTGAAGGGGAGATGTATGTATGTGGTTTTTATAGGGAAAGCGATAGTGGCTTATTAATAAAAAAAATGTAGATTAGTATATATTATATTTAACTGTATAAGTCGGTGGTTGGATTATTTTTTTATATAATATGGTGGTGTTTTCAATGCAGATGTTGAGTTATTGGATGGGCCTAAATGAATTTTCATGGATTTTTGGTCGTGTAAGTCCAAATATTGATTTTGGTCCAAATATTATTGTTCATTTTTGCATTGATCTGTATGATTTTTCGTAGAAGCATAGAATGGGTTGGGCTTTGGCCATGTGAGAATTGAATTCTAATTTGTAAATATTCTAACTTACAAGTTACAAGTATAGACCCCTATAAACAATCTAAGTTGTTAGTTCTCATTCCGTCTCAAATTATTTATTATGTATTTCCGTAAAAAAATATATAATAAGGAGGTGTATTTGATAAGTTTACATTTGTTTATATTTTAAGATATGATTTTTTTTCATTGAATATTTACGGATTTGGCTCCCCTCCATTACCCTTTCCCTCCATTTCGTCAAGTACACATCTAGATGAGAGATATGTGTACTATTTAATTGTTAAAAGTCAAGATTATATCGCATTAACTAGTATCATATCCATAGTTAGGTGAATAAGTTTTGGAAAAAAATCTCTCCAAATTTAGTAAGAATAATGAATTCTTCTCAATTTTTGATATCCACTATCCATATATTTAAATCATTAATTTTCTTTTATATTTAAATATTAAAATGATAACAACGTTTAGTTTGTTTAGCCTAACAGTAGTCTTACAAAATATTTTGCCTTTAGATTGATGTTTTATTTTATTTTATTTTTTAAAGATTTTATTTTTTTGATACTTTCACATTTGTAATTCTAATTATGCATTTTTTACTTCCCATTTTTATTATATGATTTCTATTTCAATCTAATATTTCACATTTGTAATTCTAATACTTTCACAGTAGCCTAATTATGCATTTTTTACTTCTCAACCTAATATTTCAAGAATAAATTTGCTAGCATAGGAAACAATTTCTTAACTATGGTTATGATACTAGTTAATGCAACATAATCTTGACCTTTGACAATTAAATAGTACACATGTCTTTCATTTAAATGTGTACTTGACGAAATGGAGGGAAAGGGTAATGGAGTGGAGCCAAATCCAATATTTACTTTGTTGATGTGTTGTCAAACTATAATTGTCAATTAATTGAAGTGTGAAGTCCTTAAGATTCAATTACTACTAAGGTGAAAATGCAAAATTACCTTTAAGGCCTCTATTTCACCTTCCACTATAGGTCCGTAGAGAATTGGAAATTGTTAATAAACTTCTCATAGTATTCACAACAATAAGAAAAATGTTACACACTATTTTTTTTTTAAAATCCAAATATTCCTACGTTATTTTCTTGATTACAAACCAGATACTACTTTGTGTTAAGTTCAACTTAATTACTTTAATGATTATTAACACTGTATAATACACTGATCTTTGGGCAGATTGGTGCATTATTTCTTAAAAGTGCTCGATCAAGCATAATTTAAGAGTATCACTACACGTTATATGTTTTTAATTTTTTGTCAACTTTTCTACGAACGACACCTAGCTAGCTAGTTCATTGCACATAATGTCCGTTATGTCATGCTTAGATATGTTTTTTCTTGTGTTCCAAAATGATAGCTTTTATATAACCAAATAAAAAAGATAGATAAAATTTCAACGATCAACAAAATATGAGTATGGTCTTGAAATATATTTTTGGAATAAACTTTAAAATATCACAAACGTTGAGTCTCGATACTTGAATTGTTTAGGTTGTTTTAGAACAAATTAAGGACGAAGGAAGGAGTACTTACCACACCACCACAACCTTAATTTGTTCATACCAAAACAATTATTCTTATAAATCTTAACCGTCAAGATAATGGGTAACTTTTTATTACTTAACCCAAAATATACAAAAATTATTCATTACGCAAGCAAATTATGTATTTTTTTCTCTGTTAATTTTTTATTTATTTTGAAGACCCTGTACTAGTGAGAACTTAACCATATTAGCAATTCGTGTATGTGGTTAAAGTTGGGATTGGAGTGATAATGTTTAGCATACTATGGAAATTAAAGCATAATAAAAGTGTAATAATGTATAAATACACTAGTCTTTCTCTTGCGTTTCATCTTCTATATAAATATAAGGACACAAATAAATCAAATTAAATGGATTCAACGGTAGAGAATTACTTAAAGATAATAAGTTTGTATAACTAAACATATTGTTGATCAGGATTAATTGTATTTCTTATTTTCCAACAACAACGTACAACATATATATCCAATATTCCATAAGTGGAGTCTGAAAGGATGATGCATATATATGCACATAACCTTACTCCACCTTGTGAAGATAGAGAGATCATTTTCGAGTATTTCTCTTATTTTCCATGGTTCCTAGCATCCGAGAGTATGAATTCATAACTTGAAATTTATGAATTCAAAATTTTATTATTTTGAGTCAGTAAAA